CTAGCCAAGAATGGAGTCAGGCTTCCTGATTCCTAATGTCTTAAAAGCCATTTAGTTTTCCCATTCTGGCCTGATAGCTATGTGAGTATTCTGCAATGAAGTATAAAATGGAAGTAAGAGAAAAGTAGAAAAGAGAGATAATTCTGCCTAGAGACAGAGAAATCCACACCCCACATTACTGTGAAATGAAGCAATGAGGGTTTTGTTCTGCAAGTTCCTGGTTCCAGTCTCTGCTCTGAATCAATGGAAGAGGGTTTTKACTCTGATTCCACAGATCTGCACCAGAACCACGAGAACAGAACCATCAGAACCAGAGAGAGCAGATCAACCAGCMCTGCTTTGCTTTGACTGCTTAGCTCCTGGGCAGCAGGTGGAGGATTATTTACTTCTGATGGTTAATTAAAAGAAGTTTATGCACTTGTGGAATGACTTTTGTTCCTTGAGAATGAAGGATGCAGCTGGACTTGTCAGATAATCCATAACACATTAGCTTCTTTTCCACCTGCTCCACAACACTCCTGAATAAACCTCAGCAAAGGACCAGAATAACAGCTCAGGGAAATAAAAWTTGCTCTGTGAAAGACAGCCTCGTTCTCCATGCTCCAGCTCTTGATCTATAGACCTGATAATGTAAAAAATGGGTGCAAGGACAACCCCAGAGCATTCCCTTCCCCATCCCCAGCCTTGCTGCTGACACTGTTTGCACTGCCTGTCCAGGGCACCCTCAGCAGCCAAACTCAGTGGAGCCCTAATCCAGGTTAATCCTGGGCATTAGGGATGAATGACACCTATTAACTGTTGTGCTGATGCTTTAACTGAAATTTTGCAAATCACTGAGCACAGCAGCTGAAGCAAAGCTCTCCTGGCCAGAAGGAGAGCAGGRATGCAGCAGCTTTGCTGTTGGAAAGGGATGTGAGAATTTATTGTGACAGAAAAGGAGACAGCAGAAACAGTGGCCCATACTGTGAGTTTTGAAACAATTTGGTTGACATTCTGCACCTTAGATGTGGGTTTTTTTTGTATTTTTCCTGTTTGAGATACTGAGGAGGTAATGGAATTTCTGCTCTGGGTCACTTGGTGATTCCCCAGGAGCACATTAGAACAGCYTTTGGCAATCAGCTCCACTGCAGAGCCAATGAAAGTACCCAAGAGTCACTATTATATTACACAGGAAACAATTCAGCAAGATTAGAATTATTTTATTAGACAGTAAAACAGAGTCTATTTGGAGATGCTACCTATTTTAAAATTCAGTGATTATCTGAACTGGTATTTGTTACTTAGAAGAGACAATATTTGAAGGGGGATGAAGAGAAATAAGTATTGCTCTTTTGTTGTTTTTTTTTTTTAGCAAAACTCAAGCTATCTCTTTTTCTTCTTATGACTTCATTGTGGGAGAAATTATTAACATAATCTAGAAATAAAATGGAAATAAAATTAATAAGTTTGCYTGATTATTTGCAGCAGGTGAGAGCACTGGATGACTGTGACTACAGCTCATGTAAATTCAGCTCTTAGCAGTATCCTCACAGGTCCTTTTGTTTTCTTAACCTCACGTGCCTTCACATAACCCCAGACAAACTCTCTACAATACAAACRGACTCTGAATACACAGTGATGCTTCTAAATCCCACAGACACCTACAAAAATAAACAATTACACCTTCAATCCTCTCTGCATGCACCACAGTGGGTGCTTCAGGAGACAACACACCTATTTCCTCACTGAAAATACAACCCACTGGTACTACGAGCTTTCTAAAGGCTGCATTTAAACCTGAAGCATATTCAGAACACAACTAAAATCCCATTAAAATGGAAATGAATTTTCTGACTCCTATTCTTCTATCAAAAATTTCCTCTCAGTTTGTCTCATCTTCAGTGAGGTTACAATTCAGTATTTGTAGCTCCCTATTCAGTCTAGGAGAATAAGCAATATTAGCAAGGTGAAAGCTTATATTAATGAATAAAAGCCTGGGTATTTTTAATAGTATTAGGAAGGAAAACATTAGGTTACAACAGCACAGTTTCCTTTATAATCATGTCACAGCTTTTACAGAATAACAGCTTMTCTAATGTGAGGTTCATAAAAAGGGATGAGAAAGCTTTCAATTAATTTGGGACTCTCAACACATCCTTTGCCATAAACAGGTTCAGGTAACCAGGGCTTACAGGAAAAACAAAAAGCAGCAGAGAACCAACAACTCTTACCTGTTCAAACACTCCTTCACCCTCTTTGTACTCACATGGCTCAGCTCAGTGATGTGGCTGTTGTGTGTCTAATCCAGCCTTTACAGGCTGCCATCACATAGGACAGCACTGTCCTTGCTTTCTCCAGTTTTGCCTCATGCTGCTTGTATGGCTTCAAACTCCCCACTCCTTTCTGCTGAGCAACATTTTCCATCCTCTTTCCCACAGTAAATCTGTAAATGCAAACAACAACAACAGAAGCAGGGGCATTTCAAGGCTCATCATAGCTCAAATAAGATCATTTTTAGTAGAGTTGTGCCTACCTTAAATGAAGCAAATCCACTGAATGAAGCTCAGTATCTTTCTGTTTCATTTTCTGTGGCTTCTCCAGTGTTTATTCCTGTAGAAGGAAGAAAGCCAATATTGACATTGCAACCAGAAGCCACTGAAATATGTAAGGCACTAATACAGATATATCATTATCTATACTCATATATACACACCCCCTCACCATCATCTCATCAGATTTCAGCTAGAGAACTGTATTTGTAGTTTTTCCTGAACTGTATTTGTAGTTTTTCCTCTGCCAAGAAAGTAAGAAAAATTGGACAGGACACAGAAAGCAAGGGCAGAAGTTGGGAAAAGCAGCATTTTGAGCAAGGTGTATGTGAAAGGGCAAAAGTGAAGCCAGGATATTGCTGTGCAGGGTCTGATATCCCCCAGAGGGGAATTGTTCCACTGGGGTGGCTGGAGCAAGGGCACAGAGCTGTCCCATCTCATCTCAGAGGGTGCAGAGGGAGCACTTTAGACATGGAAAACAAAAAGTAAATAACAAGGAAAATCATAACTTAAAGTTAAATTTCCATTGAAGGAAAAGGGTTGCCTAGCTTGATGCTAATGAGCTTCCATCCCACCGGTCTTCCACTGAGGAATGGRCCTTGTTGTTTCTGAGAGCGTTTCCACAGTTCCACTTTATGCTAAAAGCCGTCCCCCGATGACACAGTGAAATGGGTGACAGCATATACTTTATACATTTTTAAGCACTAGAAAGTATTGGAAACTTTCAAATATTGTTAGAACTGTAGCAGATGATGAGAAACCAGCTCTAGTTGGAGATGTGCAGCTCCAGCCTTGGTGAAGATGTGCTTTTACCTGCAAGTGCTCAGAGGTCACTTTGCTGGTTGGGACCTTTCCCAGACATTTCATTTCTTTGACAAATCTGTTACTGTTCCAAAACTCCAGAGCTTGACCAGGGACTCCTGTGCTAGGTTCTTTTGTGGAATACGGTATTTCAGTGTTTTGCAGCTCCCACTAAACCCACAAACCTGCTGTCAGCCCCCAGCACCATTGCTCTGCTGGATTTTTCACCTGCATTCAGTGGATTGCATTACTGACAAACTCAGAAATGGATAAAACCATTCCAATGCTTGGAGGCTGCAGTGAGAACAACACAGCAGCTTCTCCTTTGTCAGGCATCAGMTTCTGTTCAACGTGCAGGGCCAGAGCACAGGCACAGAGAGAAAATCATGAAGTAACTGTCAAAGGCAGCCAACATCAATTACAACACACTGCAGGTTAAATTGCACATGACACTTTCTCAAAGCAAATCACCTTCTCCTATAAAGAGGTTTTATGTCATTTTTAAATTCTAATGATTTGCTGAGAACTCAATATCAAGAGAAAAAAAGAAGAAAAAAATCAATTATTTTCCACAGATGGCCACTGGACTGAGATGCAGCTGTGGCAYGGATGGGGCAATCACAATGACACGGCTTTTTCCCTCCTGTTAGCAGAGATTATACTGCATTAGATGGCATTGAGAGGGTGGAGAAAACTGGAATGCTTCKAAGACAGTGATGTATTGTAAAGCTGGATGAGCTAATTTTAGACCATTTAAACTCAGAAATTGGCAGCAGTTTTTCTGAGAGCTCAGTTAAGGCTAATTTACCTCGAATCATCCACTGAACTCATCCTGCAGATCACAAAAAATGAAAAACTATCATGCACTTAGAGGATAAAGAAAATACTGTGCTGGTTCCTGCAGGTTACATAAAAATGCTTTTAGCAGCAGTAATGCCAAGAGGACATGACTTGCATTTTTATACTTATGAATGCTCTTCCACAGTAATTAAAAATGACATACCCCATTAAATCACTTAGTACATACCTTAAAGCATATGATGCAGAGGTTTCTTGAAAAAGCCAATTACACAGTGCAGCTCTGTACAAGGCCAATGCTTCAAAGCAATTTTCAGATTTTATGAGGTACATATGCTTCAGAAAAGGAGATTTTTTTTTTTTTTTTACTGGCAGGAAGATGCACTACAAATAAGATACAAGCCTCTACTTCATTTTTTTTTTTGTTGCTGCTGTGAATTAAAAATCCATTGCATATCTGAGCTTCAGCACAAACAGTAACACATCACTGGAGAGGGCTTTTAATGGGAGAGGCTCCTTTTCATGCTGCACCTGCCTGTAAATAAAGCAGGAGTAATGATTAAATGATGGAGTTCTGGCATTGTTGCCTACTCCCACCAAAGAACATTTCTGCCAGAATCCATGGGTGGGAGAAGCCTTGAGGCTTTGCCATGGGGCAGGATACTGCATTAATCCTGCAAGACTGCAGAGCCTTACTGTGCATGTCACAGGAAACATTCAGATTTCTTTCCATCATCTCTGTTCACCCAACACTGTTTTGCTCTGCTGACACTTCAAGAAAATAAGCCCTATTTGTCTACAAAAAGATATTTTTCTTTCCCAGTGTTGAAATAGTAGCAGTTTTATTGAAAACTTCAGTTTTATCTGGACAAGGTAGGGTTTTTCCTTCTGCTTCAGAAAGGAAAGAGACTCCTAGACCAGAGCACAYCAACAGCACAAACCCCAAAGTTACAAAAGCCCAGTGTTGGGAGAAAAGATCAAGTACAGTAAGATCTTCCTTGAAAGAACCTCCTGTCACTTGAAATTCAACCAAATGTCTCATCTCTCATCAATCTCTGCTGTGTGTCCACTGATATAATCTCATTGCTCCACCCAGGAATTCAAAGATCAAAAAAGATGAAATATTTGAGTGGAAAAGGAGATTTGTGATAACCTAGGAATGTCTGTGACGTGCAAAAAGTGCTTTTTACTCCAGCATTCTCCTGTTTTTAATAAAAAAACCTATCAGATGGCACAAGACTAATTCCCAGGAAGATAAAGAATACTTCCATACAATTGTTTTCCTGATGATGCTACTAGAAAACAGACAGGAAAAATGAAAAATTAATTTTTGTAATGACAAAAAATAAAACAAAAGAAAAATATTTGAAGCTGGCTCTTAGCCAGATGGCTTTTTATAAAAAAGCTTTAAAAATGCCCAAGACCAGTTGTCCTGATAAAATTCATTACAAAATTATGTAGTTTTGACATTTTTCCAGTGTTCAGCATTGGGTTTGGCAGCAACAACCAGATGTTCCTTCTCATGRGCAAATGCAAAGGCTGGGCCAGCCTAAGAACAAGTTTATCATGAGCTCTTCCCTCACCAGGTTAAGGGCAGAAGTTTAAGGGAGAGATTCCTGGGAGATGACAGGCAATTAAATACACTGACACCATTTTTATGAGCAGTTGAGAAGATAATTGAAAAACACAAACACATCTGAGTTAGAATTCAATTTGGTGAGCAGGCAGTGCCTGAGTTTGCGACTTGCTGCTGTCCCAGAAAATGAATCCTGGGTGTCCTTTTGACACAGCRCCTTTGCAGGGTGGCTACTTGAGCTCACCTGAGGAAACAACAGAGCCAAAGCAGCAACTGAGGCTGAAAAATGTCTGTACAATATTTTATCTTTGCTCCAGCTACTGGCATCCTTATTTTAATATAACACAAATCAATCAGAAAGAAACTAAGTGATAATCTAATACTCTTTCACAGTAGGTAAGATCTCAAACTAAAGGCCACAATTGCTCATGTTGTAATCATTAATGAATACACTTAAAGTACCATCACWCCAGTAAGGGATGAATTAGGAAATCACAGGAATAAATGACTCCAACAATTTAGTGTAAGAATTACCTTGACATTTTGATATTTCACTTTGAAAATCATTAAGGTTTTAAATGCATACTACTATTTTTAAAGCTAGCTGGAAAAATTATGTTGATTGTCCAGGTATTAATCATCTGCTTACAGCACCCTCCTTGCTTCCATTTCTTTGAATTATTAAATCTRAAAAACAAAGCAAAACAAAAAAAAMCTCAAAACAAAAACAAACAAAAACCCTAAGCAAAAAAACCAAACAAACCAATCTCCCAAGCCCCCAAGTGAAAAACTGTAGCAGATATTTATAAAGGGATTCACAAGTGTGAGTAACTAATCTCATTTGTTTGTGTTAGGTTTAGAGACAATAAAATGGTTTTTTATCTTGTGTTTTGTTGTACATATAAAGCACTAAAAAATATTAGTGATTACAAGAAGTATGCTGAAACAAATATTTTTTTTTTTCCCCTTTAGAACAGAAGAAAACAACCATGCAAGGAAAGTGTGCCCAAATTCTACTCAGGAACTCATCTTTAGAACTTTCTGAATTTTGAAATGCATGACTTTCTCAATGTCTGACAAATACAGCTGTCTTTYCTACCGTGCTGGAAGGAAGTAACTCAAGGCTCAACAATCTCCTGCAATATTTAGGAGCAATCTCTGCTTGCTATCATATGCCACTAGGATGAATTGCAGAGATAGTTTAATCCTTGATTACAAGTACAGACTCTTGGAATGCTGGAGCAGTGCACAGATGGTGTGATACCAAACCCAACAGCTCTGCCCTATTCATGGTATTTTGTGAATAGCAGAAGGACCACAGGATAAGTGCCAAGCCATAAAATCCCATCCCAAAAGCATTAACTACTTATTTGTACTTGATATTATAAAAGGGATTGAAGGCAAAAGTGCAAACCTAAGTGCCTGGGAAAGACACAAGCTGGGGAAGTTTGTGGACTCTTTTCCCTGGGAAGGACCCCAGACTGGAGCAGGGCAGAGTGTGGGGAAGGAGCAGTGGAGGTGAAGTGTTATGACCTGACCACAACCTTGACCCCATCTCCCTGTGCCCTGGGGGAGGGTGGAAGAGGTGGGAGCGACATTGAGCCAGGGAAGAAGGTGGGGTTAGTTTTTATTTCTCACTGTCTTACTCCACTATTGATTGGCAATAAGTAAATTTTTTTTCCCAAGTCTGTTCTTCCCATGCCAGTAACTGGTGAGTGGTGTCTCTGCCCTCATCCCCACCCAAAAGCTTTCTCTTTGTGTTTTCTTTCCCTGTCCAGAGAAAGAAACCAGAGAAGGTAGAGTGAGAGAACAGCTCGGTGGGCATCTGATGCCATCCAAGGTTAACCCACCTCACCTTGCTTGAAGAATTTGCCCAGGGAAGTCCAGGAATTCAGCTTCTCACAGGGCCCCCARCAGGACCAGGCACAGCTGCAGGGCCTCAGCCAGGAACAGTTCTGTGTCAAGGAGAGCCTGTCAGTGACTCTACCCTTAACACATCACA